ATTTCCGGTTACTGGGAAGGCTGAGGCGGAAGGATCACCGGAGCCCAGCAGGTCGAGGCTGTGGTGGTCGGGAGCAGCCACTGCACTCCAGTCTGGGTGACAGAGTGAGATTCCAACTAAAAAAAAAAAAAAAAAAAAAAAAAAAGGAAGATGGAAACCTTTGAAGCTTTTTGTTGTTGCTGTTAGTCATATTCCATGTATGCATCATTCCTACCCCAAACCACTTTAACTCTTGGCCCAGAAACAATTCTAATCTGACAGACAGACATGGCAACTGGCTTGAAAAAATGAAAGTAATTCTTTTTTTACACATAATATTTTAGTGTTACTTGGTTCAAAACCTGGCTTTATGTGGTCTGATAAATACATTGATATTTAAGGTTGAAAATGTGCAGTGAATACATTTAAGTAATTTTTTTCATTTATGAGTTTTAGAAGTATCATTGTTTTTCCTCTATATTTGCCAGGAGGTATGGTGATTTGTTTTGTAGTTATGTTATAAAAGCTTAAAGTTTGCAAGTAGAGGCAGAAGGTTTGCACAGATGCCTACACCTAGTTACTTCAGAACTACAAGTAAATCTCTGACTGGATTGGTAAAATTGAGAAAAATAACCAACAATTATAATAGTGTTATTGAATAATGTAGATGTTCAACCATGTTTTAAGGTTCTATATAACATAGTTCCTTTCTAGATTATTTCTAATATATAAAATTATCTTTTATTTTTCTCTCATTTACAGGTAATATAACATTACAAAGCAAGATGGGTAACATCACAGTAGGTATGTGCTAAGCTGCTAGTTGGTAAATTTTGCCTGCTTTTAAAATAGTTATATTTGTTATTACTTTATTAGAGTAAATAAAGCCTACAGTTTAGTTGATGAACTTGACAGGATCCTGATATGCAAGTTGAATATAGGTAGGCCCTATGCTCTAATATGTCCCTTCAGAGAAAATTACCTTCGCTGGTATTAAGAAATATCTTATAATATAGATTCCTTGAGTTCTTCGAATATCTATATTAAGTCTTTGAAAGAAAGAAAGATATAAATTGTATCACTGTTTGTTGGTCCCCAAATTGTGTTAACATTTGAAGACAACCCTGAGTATGCCAGTAATTGGTTAGTCAACATGTATTTACTGAATGCCTGCTATGTGTTAGGAATTCTTCTAGGTGTTGGGGAATATATTGGTTAACAGGACATAGTTTCTGTGCTCAGAGACCTCACCTCTGAGTGCTGGGAAGAAAAACAAAAAGTATGTAAATAACAAAAGGTAATTTTTTAGTTCGTGATAAGTACAATGAAGAAATAAGAAAGGGAAATGGAATAGAGATTGAGGAAAAGAAAGTTACTTCATGTAGGCAGTCGAGACAGCTAGGGGAGGGGACACTTGAACTAAAGCCAGAATAATGGAAAAGAGGCATGTAAAATCCTAGATACAGAGCTTTCCAGATAGAGGAACAGCAAGAGCAAGCTTTGAAAATGGAAGAAATTGAAGAAGGTAGTGGAAGATACGGTAAGTGAGGCTAGATTGTGGGACCTTGTAGACATGGTAAGAGTTGAGACTTTATTCCAACAACAACAACAGGGTGTTAGGAGGGGAGATAAATAATTTATATTTTAAAAGGGCAACCTAGAGGGGTGCAGAATTGAAAGCAGGCCACTAGAAATCTTCATCTATACATTATCCTGTTGATGGATACCTGAACTGTTTCTAATCTTTGGCTATTGTAAATAAAATTGCTATGAACATACTTATACAAGTCATTTTATGGATTTTTAAAAATTATTCTTGGGTAAATACCTAGGTAATAATTGCTGGGTTGAGTAGGTAGGTGTATACCTTTAATTTTTATGATAAACTATCAGACTTTTCCCAAAGTTCAATTTTACACTCTCATCAACATCATATGAGAATTGTAGTTGCTTCATATCCTTACCAACATTTATTATTGTTAGTGTTTAAAATTTTACCCATTCTGGCATGTTTATAGTGGTATATCTCTGTTATTTATTGACATTTTGTAATGACTAATGATGTTCAGCATTTTTAATGTGCAATGATCATTAGTTTGTCTTCCTTTGTGAAGTTTGTTTTCAGATCTTTTGCCCATTTATTTTATAGTTGAGTTATTTGTCTTTGTTATTAAGTTGTAAGAGTTATTTATATATGCTGGATACAAGTCCTTTGTCAGTTTATTTTCTTAATAGTATATTTTGATGAGAAAAAGATTTTAACTTTGATGCTGTGTAATTTACCAGTTATTTTTATGGATCCTAAGAAATCGTTGTCTCCCTTCAGTCACAAAAATAATCTACTACATTTTCTTTTAGCAGCCTCAAAATTTTTACTTTTACCTTTGATCCATCTCTAAATTTTTTGTTTAATGTTAGAAGCCACATTATTAGGAGTTATATTTCTTTTTCCACATAGATATCTAGTTGTTGTATTACCATTTATTAAAAAAAATTTTTTTTAACTTCCTTTCTCTGATGGATTACTTCAGTATTTTTGTGTAAAATCAAATGACTGTTTAAATGTGGCTCTAATTCTTATCTCTTGCTTCTAATTCATTGATTTGTTTGTTGAACTTTATGCCAGTGCCAAAATATCTTGATTACTGTAGCTTTATAATAGTAAGTCTCTAAATCAGGTAGTTGAAGTATTCCAGATTTGTCATTTTTAAAGATTGCTTTGGATATTGTAAGTCTTTTGATTTTCCAGTCAATTTCTTCCAAGAATTCCAGTTGTGACTATATTTGGGATTGCATTGAATCACTGAAGCTATAGATCAGTTTTGAGAGAATCCACCCTCAGCAACATTGAGTCTTCCACTTCATGAACATGCCATAACTCTCCATTTATTTACATCTTTTTAAATTTCAGTCTGCATTGTGTTGTAACTTTCAGTATAGAGGTCTGGCACATCTTTATTAAATTTATTTGCATTTTAACACTGTTTTGAAGGAAATTTTTTAAAACTTTATTTTTTAATTGTCTGCTGCTGATATATGTAAATACAAGGGGGACCTCAAAAAACCTGGAATTAGATTTTGGAGGGTGGGTCCCCCCCATTTTTTTTTTTTTTTAGATTCTTTCAGCATGTTTGCCCATTTCATGATGGGGGATTTACACGCTTTACATGCTCACCTGCCCACATGCAATGAGTATTCAGCAGTTTTTGACCAAAAATGGCATGACCTCAGTGCCCCACTGTCCCTATTCACCTGATCTTCCTGTGAGCGACTTGGCTTTGTTTCCCTGGATGAAAAAAGTCCTCAAAGGGAATGTTTTGCAGATGTGGAAGAGGTAAAACAAAAAATGGCAGAAACACTAACGGCATCAAAATTGACAAGTTCAAAAACTGTTTTGAGCAGTGGAAAAAGTATCTCAATAGATGCATTGAATCAAACAGAATATTTTGAAGGTGACTGAAATTTAAACATGTAAGAATAAATACACAATTTTTTATAGATAAATTCCAGGTTTTTTGGATCTTCTGCCATACAGTTGATTTTTATGCATGGATCTTGTATTTTATGACCTTGCTAATTTTAATAGTGTTTTTCTAAAATCTATAATCCTTTTCTATATAAGCAGTCATTTCATCTATGAATAAAGGTCTTTTTACCTCTTTTTATATTCTTTTTATTTCTTTTTCTTACTGTAGCTGGGACCTTCAGTATAATGTTAAATCATCGTGGTGAGAGTGGGATTCCTTGCTCTTGCTGCCCATCTTGTCCCCTTGGGAAAAGGCATTTAATATTTTACCATTAAGTATGACATATAAACTATAGACTTTTAACAGATGCCTTTAATCAGATTGCAAAAGTTATCTTTTATTCCTAGTTTGCTAAAAGTTTCTCTTTTTATTTCTTGGATCATGAATGTTTGTTGAGTTTTGTCAAATACATTTTCTTCATTTATTGAAACGATAATATTTTTTCTCCTTTAGCATATTAATATAATCAACCATATTACTACATTGATTTTTTAAATAGCTATCCTTTACTGAGTGCCTGTGCCAAGCAGAGCAAAACACATTACAATATAAATTTTCTTTGTTTTCTTGTTTTGCTTTGTTTTTGCCATCTTTATTGTGATAAGCAGACAAATAAGATTGTATATGTTTAAGGTGTATAACATGATATTTGATCTACGTATATATTGTGAAATGATTCCTACAGTCAATTTAGTTAACATATCTTCACGTAGTTACTATTTTGTGTGTGTGTAGTGAAAACATTTAAGATCTACTTTCTTAGCAAGTTTCAAGTATACAATACTACATTGTTAATTACAATTATCTTGCAGAATATTAGATCTACAGACCCTTCTTCCAGATTGTAGAACTTCTCCATTACATGAATCTCCAAAAAATGAAATTCTGTGGATGAAGCCCTAATTTTACTCTTGATAATTAATTTTAGTTCCAATAATTTGTGTTAAGGAAAGCAAAAGAAAAGTAGTGTTTGTCTTACTGCTTAATGTTTAAATATCACTTTTCCTGTATCTTTTGAGTTTTAATTTTTTAAACAGCCTCTGAGGAATGGGCCATGATCAGAGATCAAGACTGATTACATGAGAATATAATATATTTGTGGCTTAAAATATAATTATTTAGCTGTTTTTTATTTCCCACTTGGAGGGGAAAGTAAGTGAAATAAGATTTTTTCTTCTTCTGGAGAAAGCAAGAAATTAAACTAATGTTTCAAATATTTTACTTTGTTTAACCTAGGATAATACCTACATTGTGTAGTCCACTTAAAAATATATATATAATGTAATTTTTACTTGGCTTCTTTTAGGATGCAGTTAAGAGGTTTTAAAAGGGGTTTCTGAGCTGAGGGCAGTAGCTCATGCCTGTAATCTCAGCGCTTTGGGAGGTGGAGGTGAGAGGATTGCCTGAGCCCAGGGGTTCAAGACCAGCCTGGGCAACTTGGCGAGACTTCATCTCTCAATAAATCAAAAATTTGGCTGAGCGTGGTGGTGCGCACCTTTAGTTCCAGCTACTGGAAGGCCGAGGCGGAAGGATCGCCTGAGCCCAGCAGGTCGAGGCTGCGGTGGCCATGAGCATGCCACTGCACTCCAGCCTGGGCAACACAGTGAGACTCCCACTCAAAAAAAAGGAGTTTCTGTTGATACTTAAGCAGTTGAATTTTTATCCTTGTTCATTTTTATGTCATTTATCTCTAGTGGCTTCGTTTCCCGATATTAGTGTTTACTTTTGACACTTGAAAACTAAATGAATTGGGTCTGAGAAAGAGCATTTTTCAGTATAGGTTATAGATAAATTATTATAAGTGATCTTGGAGACAGATTTTGAACAGTTTATTCCAAAGTTATCTTTGTTTGGAGTCATTTAATATTTCTTTAAAAGAAAAATGTTGGCTCCTTTGTAGATATACAAATGTTTTCTCTTCACATTTTATAAAAAGTATAATATAATTCTTAGCATAATTTTCACCACACTCCCTACTTTGTTTCTACTTTGAAGTAATAAAAGCTCCTTTAGAGCGGTATCTCTAGAAAGAATATGCTTTCCTCTTCTCCAAGCAGCCAGATAGAATATTAAAGGTTCAGTTGCCATGAAAGAATGAGAAGAAGGAAAAACCACTTGGCACTGACTCTCCAACATAATTCTTTTACTTCCTTATTTCTGACTCTGTTTTCCCTTTAATTTGAAATATTGGCTGATTGGAAACTGGGATCATTGATGACACAGAGAAATTTGTGTGTCAAAAGAACTACCTTAATTATGATTTTTAAAATCTTGACTTAAAGATATTCATTCCATTCCAGAAACTTGAAAAGAAATATATAAACAAGCTTCACCCACTCTCCTCACCCACAATACCTTTTTCTGACCCTTTAACAAATACAAGCTGGGCACTTAAATCCCAGCTATGCTGGAGGCTAAGGTGGGAGGCTCACTTGAGTTCAAGATGAACCTGGGCAATATAACAAGACCCTGTTCAAGATGAACCTGGGCAATATAACAAGACCCTGTCTTTAAAAAAAAGAATGAAACAAAAAACAATCTTATGTAGAGTAATCCTTTACTATTAGGAGCACTTTTTAGTACTAGCAAATTTGCTGAATAGCGAAACTATGAGAAGTTTTGGGTTTTTTAAATTTTATTATTTTTTTAATTTTAAAGATGTGGGGTACAATTCAGGTTAGGTATACAAATGTTCATTATGCAGGTGCCCTTGTTGATGAGGTGTGCCTCTCCTTCTCTTAGCAGTTTCCCTCAACTGCCAATCCCTCCCCTCCATCCCACCCTCAGCACTTTTCTGCTACTGCCAATCCCTTTCATATAGTATTATGATAATTGTTCAAGGTCTGCTTATGAGTGAGAAAATATGGTACTCTGTTCTTTGTTTCTGTGATAGATCACTAAGTATGACAGACTCTAAATCCATCCAAGTTGCTACAAAGTTCATAAGTTTGTCCTTCTTTATGGCTGCATAATATTCCATTGTGTATATGTACCACATTTTTTTTTCTATCCAGTTCAGCTTTGATGGGCAGCATGGTTGGTTCCATGTTTTTCCTATTGTAAATACAGCTGCAACAAATATGCATGTGCAGGTATCTTTTTTGTAGAATGATTTGAGTTCCTCCAGGTATATTCCCAATAGGGGGATTCCTGGGTCATATGAAAGGCCAATTTCTAGTTCTTTCAGAAATCACCACATTGTCTTCCAAAGAGGTTGCTCTAGTTTGCATTCCCACCAGCAGTGTAGAAGTGTTCCCTTTTCTCTGCATCCTCGTCAGCATCTGTTGTTTGTTTTATTAATGATGACCATTCTTACTGGGGTTAGGTAGTATATCAATGTGGTTTTGATTTGCATTTTTCTGATGATGAGTGAAGCTGAGCACATTTTCATGTGTCTGTTGGCTGCCCATATATCTTCTTTTGAGAAGTGTCTATTCATGTCTTTTGAGAAGTGTCTATTCATGTCTTTTGCCTACTTTTGAGAAGTGTCTATTCTTTTGAGAAGTGTCTATTCATGTCTTTTGCCTACTTTTTAATGGGGCTATTTGTATTTTTCCTTTTAGCACGTTTGAGTTCCTTGTAGATCCTAGATGTTAGATCTTTGTCAGATACAAAGTTGACAAATGTTTTTCCCCATTCTGTGGGCTGTCTCCCTGCTCTGTTGATGGTTTCTTTTGCTTTGCAGAAGCTTGTCAGTTTGATGAGGTCCCACTTGTCTATCTTATCTCTTATGGTATGGGCACTTGGGGTTTTGATCAGAAATTGGTTGCCAGTTCCAATTTTCATAAAGGTGTCTTCTGCATTTTCTAAGGTTCTTATAGTTTAAGGTATTATGTTTAGGTCTTTGATCCATTTAGAGTTAATTTTTGTGTATGGGGATAGATAGGGGTCCTATTTCAATCTTCTGCATTTGATCAGCCAGTTTTTCCAGCACCATTTACTGAAAAAGTTCTCCTCTCCCCAGTGTTTGTTGTTGGAGGCTTTGTCAGAGATGAGTTGGTTGAGAAATTGAGGCTTTGCTTCTGCAATCTCTATCCTATTCTATTGATCTGAATGCCTGTTCTTGTACCAATACGAGGCTGTTTTGATTATTGTAGCCTTATAGTAAAGCTTGAAGTCTGGAAGTGTGATACCTCCTGTTTGTTTCTTTTACTAAAGATTGTTTTGGCTATTCGTGGTCGTTTATGTTTCCATATGAATTTCTGTATTGTCATTTCCAGGTCTGAGAAGAATGATGTTGGTAATTTGATGGGCATTGCGTTGAATCTGTAGATTGCCATCGGTAGGATAGGCATCTTAAAAGTGTTGATTTTTCCTACCCGTGAGCATGGAACATTTTTCCATCTGTTTGTGTCTTCCTAGATTTCTTTGAGCAGTGTTTTGTAGTTCTCATTGTAAAGGTCTTTCACTTTCCTGGTTAGGAAGATGCCGAGGTACTTCATTTTTGTGTGGCTATTGTGAATGGGATTGTGCTTTTTATTTGGTTCTCCGCCTGCTTGCTGTAGGCATATAAGAATGCAACTGTCTTCTACACATTTATTATGTACTCTGAAAGTTTGCCAAAGTCCTTTATCAGTGCAAGTAGGTTTTTGATCTAAGATTCTCTTGGATTTTCGAGCTATAAGATCATATCATCAGGAAAGAGGGATAACTTAACTTCTTCTTTTCCTTTTTTGATACCCCTGATTTCCTTCTCTTGTCTAATTGCTCTAACTAGGACTTCCAACACAATGTTGAACAAGATGGGTGAGAGTGGGCAGCCTTGTCTTGTTCCAGTTTTCAGGAGAAATGTTCCCAGTTTCTGTCTACTTAGCAATATGCTAGTTGGAGAGGTTTCGATTTTTAAAAAAATTTGCTATGCTCATGTGTGACTGCATGTAAGGTAGAATTATTTGGTAATTATTGAAAGTGTAATAAATTTATCAATATGATAATAAAGTAAATATATCAATGATGCTTAATGATCTTGGCTATCAAGGAGGCATTGCTTGCATACTGTCCTTCCCACTCATTAGGTTTTAGGTGAAATGTTTGGAGATAAGTTAATCAGGTTAGTGTGTAGATATAGAGATTTTTAATTAGTTGTCTAGGTATAGCTATCTCAATTTCTGGTAGTGTTTATATTTTAATGCCAACAGTGGCATTGTTATGAGGAAATGACACAACTTTGCAACATTCTTAGTTCCTTTTCCTAATGCTAAAGCGATGCCTTCTATTTTAGGCTTATAATTCCATTTACTCAAGTAAGAATGATTATACTTACAGTTTTTCCTTCTTTCCAGATTCATCCTCTGGATGTCTAAAAGCCTCAACTCATCAGGGTGCCATAGATGTTTATGTCAGCCAACTGGGGAAAGTGGAATTGGGATCCCACAAAGGTTAGCCAATGGGAATGTTTTATTTTGACATATGGTATAAGGAAGGTTTATGTAACACTCAGGAAACACATGGTCAAATTATCTATACTGACATAGTGATTTTGAGAACACTTCTGACAGAACCTGATTTAAAGACTGGTCTACTAGCTTTCTAGACCAATGATCTTTACAACTTTAGGGGCAAATAGCCATGAAGATCCTCTTTTCCTTTGTGGTGCAAACTAAAACATAATATTTTGACTGTTGCTGTGAAAATTTTAAATGTTACTGTGTGGACTTTTCAGTTTAGTCTTATGTCTGAAATAAAATATTCTTCAAAGTGAAAATACTCCCATAAGTTCTTTTGTAAGTTTTCCTACCAGCCTGTAAGAGGAACTTCTCAGGCTATCAATATAGAGCAATCATTTAAAAAATGTCATCCTAAAATAATGATATCACCAATAAGGTCCTCTAAAGTGATTGTTAACTTAGTCTCTTGAAGTATCAAGACTTAACAATATGTCTCTTTATATAATTTAATTTCTGATACAAATAACTTATTCTAAGCCCAAGCTTTTCATTAAACATGGTATACTTTTTACTCATCTGAAGCTAAATTTGAATTTGTCTGTTACTGTGCACACATGCACACACATGTACATGGTGTCAAGTGGTTTGGGTGGAATAGCTTGTCCATACGACTGTATGGTGCAGAAAGTTAGAAATGTAGCTCTAATAAAAAGTTTTTAAAGTAGTCTAGAAGATTTTGCATGTTGGCCAAAAGAGGCATATATGTATAACATTGAAAGTATTTTTTTTACAGAGACTATTTCTGCTATTATTTCTTTATAATGTTGATTTAATACTTTTTTGTCCATCTAGGCTCTCTTATCAGAGTGTAAACATAAAACTGCAAGACACAGAGGTCTGAAACGGAATTATTGCTGACATAGGTGTGATTTCTCACAATGACATATTTTTTCTGTAAAATATTATAATATTGTGGTCTCACTAAATTTCTAAGCGTTTCAATAATACTGTTGAAATTATAAATGCTATGTACATCATGCAAGACATAGAAATCATATAAGTCAATATAAATAAATAAATACTCTTTTATTACAAAGACTCAGGAAGAAAAAGCATATATCATTAATATAACTAGTAACAGAGGAAAACAAAGTTTTGAATAAGTAGCTCTTACATAAAAGTTATTTCCTGTTTTGTGTGGTATGCAAAAATGTAAAACAAAGCAATCAAAAAACTTTAAAATTTTGAAGATCGTTTATCTTCACTCACTTAAAATATTTTTGAGTATTATTTGGAATATTGTTCCAGCAACCTATTGAAATACTATATGATGTTGCATAATTTGATTAGAGTTACAGTTTTGTGTTTTTTTCCTACTGGGATCATGTTATTGGCAGAAGCTTAAAGATAACTGGAAACAAAGATTTCTGTCTTACTTCAGATCTCTTAATTCTAAATACTCTTGGGAACAGTAACTTTTTAGAGCAATGGAAAGTTTTTCAGTACTCTTGCTTAATGGTTAGCAGGGACATCTGGAATCCATTCCATCTCTGCCACTGTCTTTCTGTAGGATTCAGTCATCCACTTAAGTCTCTTAGGTCTTCACCATTTTGCCATGTGAAAAAAAAATAGTGCTTGTTTTCTTTCTCCTTATGAAAGTTAATATGATGACTTTATTAATTCATTCAGAAAGGCTATGCTCGAGCCTAGAAATCATACCTGCATGCAAGTACTGACTTTTCCACTTAAACATCTGTCCTTGGGAAAATCACTAATCTTAACATAGTATGCCTTCAATAAATGATGCTGTTAGTATTAGTTCACTTTCACATCTTTAACAGGGCAGTATCAATGTCAACCATGAAGAAGTTTATAAAGTGAAAAGAGGATGAAGACATAACAAGAGCTTTTATTTTTTAAAAATGATAGTGTTAAAGGTGAGGCATTGAGAAAGTTTGCAAGTCACAAGAATTCTTCATCACAAATAGTGGTAGAGTTTTGATAATGGTAAGTTTTGTTTCTTAAATATGTGGGGGGAGATAGGGATAGAACTTTTTTTGTATTACTTAACATTTCTAAAGATTGCACAGATTTAAGATCATGTTATTCATTTAAGAACAGAAAAAGTGTCCATAAAATACTACATTTGATGTGTTTAGAGATATAAAGTACTAGAAAAAAAATGTTTAATTCATGACTTTCTACTTTTGAAGGTATGCTTGGTAGAAAAACTTTTATCTTCCATTTATCCTGAAATATTCTAGGGTTTTTGTTTTGTTTTTTTCCTAAAGTCCTCATATGTTGTTATGGGGAATCTCCTGTCTATAACTTATGTTTGAATTCTATTGTTCCCCACTTTTTTTGAGGAGTCAAAATGAGAGTTCATCAGTCTTCCAGCTCCAGTTAGGAAGACTGAGAAGATATTAAATTATTTAAGGAAACTTAACCAGACTAGAAGGAAAACTATGAACCAGAATTAAATACATTCTAAAGGAATCTTTATAACATTCACAATGGATGTCATCTTGAACATCTTTGTCCACAGAGATGGAGTTAATGCTTTATGGTAGGAATCTCTTACCCACTTTTTTTTTTTTTAAATGAGAAACAGAAATAAAAACTTCTGAAATAGGAGTGTGCTGGTGAATTAGAACTGCAACCTACATAATGATTTTGAAATATTATTTCATAGCTAACAAAGTACATTTTCTAATCTACTTCTTTGGAAGCTTGAATTACAACTGCATTGTATTGGAAATAAAGTTGAGCATTTTGCCTTAGGCACCCTAAAGCCTGTAATCTACTCAAAAGAATCATTAGTCAGTCAGAATTCAAATGATTCCTTTTTTATTGTTACTTTTTCTCATACACAAGGCACAATTGAAAACACAAGACCAGGGTTCTAGTTGTGTTGTAATGATCAGTGAGGTTACAAATCATATATTAATAGTACAATGAGGTGGCAGTATGTGAAATACTATAGTGGTTAAAAGCGTGGGCTTTGTAGCTGAGTCTAGGTTCCAGCACTAGCTCTAGTGGGAACTTCAGCAAATTCTTATCTGTAAAATCGGGATGATAATAATACCTCATAAAGTTGATATGGGGATTAAGACATAATGTAATTCGATGTCTAGCTCTTAGTAAACAATGGCAAATCCTATCTATAAGCTACATGTGTTATAAACTACTCACTTTCTGGTGCTGGATGAGATAGGTAGGGCTATTGGTAATAAAACTGGTAGTTGTTGTTGTTGTTTTTTTTTTTTTTTTGAGTTGGAGTCTCACTCTGTCGCCCAGACTGGAGTGCAGTGGCCGCTCCTGGCCACCGCAGCCTCGACCTGCTGGGCTCTGGCGATCCTTCCACCTCAGCCTTCCGAGTAGCCGGAATTACAGGCGTGCGCTACCACGCCCGGCTAATTTTTTGATTTTATTGTAGAGATGAGGTCTTGCTGCCCAGGCGGGTCTCAAACCCGCAGGCTCAGGCAATCCACTCACCTCAGCCAAAACTGGTAGTTTATAATGTCCTGAACCCACATTCTTGACAGAATTTACCGAATGCCTTGAAAGTAAGGAAACTTTGATGACCCGAGAGTAAAGAAAAGGCACTGCTGTTTAAATTAATACTGTGCACTGAGAAGTAAAAACAGGGTACCAGAAGCAATGCCACCCTTTCAGTGAAATGTACAGTACTTTTGATTTCTTTGTATTAATAAGCTATCCTTTAAATTATTATAGGCTCTGTTATTATCAAGGTTCCATCTTCTCTTCAAGCTCATTTACAGTTATCAGGGAAAGAGGTTGATGTGAACTCTGAAGTCCATGTCCAGGAAATGGCTGAAGCTCGTAAAGATGATGGTGTAACAATTACTGGTAAGGAGACTGCATTTTGCTGTCAGATGAATAGCTGTTGTCCATAGATAAGCAGAAATGTGGTATACCTAATTGCAGTTTTAGCTTTTTTATACATATCCACTGTCACATTCTAGTGTTTGACACATTTTTCTTGTAGTTGTTTACCAGTATCACTATGCAGACACTGTGAAAACACCTCATTAAAACATTTAAGAACACTGATTAGTCCTGTCATTGGGTAAAACCGATTTTCAGATTTTCTAGAAAAGCTGCTTTCTAACTCTTGAACTTAAAAATCAACTGAATGCATATATATAAAGTAAGATTTAAAGCTAACTTTGTATAGTTAGGACATATAGGAATTTGGTTTGGTATGCACATTGTAAACTTGCTCTTTTAGTATAGCAGACTCTCAGTCCCACAAAAGTGAATGACCTTTGTACATTTTTTTTATTACATCTGGCTGCACTGGTGGCTGATACTATTTTAAAAAAATACTTATTGTTTTAATGAATAAAAAATTAATGCTGGTCAAATTTTCTTTTAAATTGTATCCGAATGACATTAAGAAGGACATTGAAGTTAAACTGTGTACATGGATGAATGCTATTGGCTTACTCATGAGATACATACTAGAAAAAGCAAATGTGGGGGGATAGTCTTCATAAGATCAAATTTCAGTTTTAAATATTCATTTTATATGTCATGAAAGAAAACAGTCTGTTAAAAAGTACAGAATACTATCAAAAAGCAAACGGGAATAAAAATACCTGTATGCTCCCAGATCTGACTGAATTCTAATATTAGTTACATGGTGAAAATTTGATGACAATCTAACATTAAGTGACTTGCAGCACTTAATGATGAGGGTACATTCTGAGAAATGGTCTTGTTGGGCAATTTCCTCATCATGAGAACATCATACAGTGAACTTACACCAACCTAGATGATATAGCCTACTGCACACCTAGATTATATGGTATAGCCTATTGCTTCTAGGCTACAAACCTGTATAGCATGTTGCTATGCAGAATACTGTAGGCAATTGTAACACAATGGTAAGTATTTGTATATTGAAACATAGAAAAGTAAAAATACATGATAAAAGATAAAATGGGCACTAATCATGAATGGAGCTTGCAGGACTGGGGTTGCTCCAAGTGAGTCAGTGAGTGAGTGGTGAGTGAATGTGAACGCCTAGGTCATTACTGTACACTACTGTAGACTTTAGAAACATTGTACACTTAGGTTGCACTAAATTTATCTTAAAATTTTATTTCTTTCCTCAATAATAAATTACCTTAGCTTGCTATAACTTTTTTCTTTATAAAATTTACTTTTTAAAATTTTTTACTCTTTTGTAATAACACAGCTTAAAACACAAACACATTGTACAACTGTACAAATATATTTTCTCTCCTTATTCTATACACTTTTTTCTGTTTTCAAGATTTTTATTTTTTTTTTACTTTTTATACTTTTTGTTAAAAACTAAGACACAAATACACAAATGAGCCTATACAGGGTCAGGAATATCAATGCCACTGTCTTTTTTTTTTTTTTTTTTTAATTTTAAAGATGTGGGATACAGTTCAGGTTTAGGTACACCGCCTCCACATCTTGTCCAACTGGAAGGCCCTCAGGGGCAATAACACTCTTGAAGCTGTCTTTTCCTATGATAACAATACCTTTTTCTGGAATACATCCTGAAAGATCTGCCTGAGGCTCTTTTATGGTTAACTTTTTTTATAAGTAGAAGGAGTATACTCTAAAACAACAATTAAAAATATAGTAAATACATACAACAGTAACACATTTATTATCAATAAGCATTACGTACTATGTGAAATGAATGTGCTAAATTTTTACATGACTGGTAGTACAGTAGGTTTGTTTTACCACAAACACATGAGTCGTGTTGTACTATAACATTACAACAGCTACGAAGTCACTAGGCAACAGGAATTTCTTAACCTCCATTATGATCTTAGGGGACCACCATCACATATATAGTTTATCATTGACCAAAACATCATTATGCAATGCATGACTGTATATCAAATGTGGTAAGAATCAACTTCTTATGATCTAATATCTTGAGTTTGATAAGGAGTCAAGAGAGTTACCTATTTTTGATCCTAGTAGTCTACAACAATAATACAGAAAGTACTGTTTAAAAGTTCTCTGAATATAGTATAATAAAATTATTTAAATATGTAAGCATGCTTGAATTATAAGCTAAAGCTATTTTGTCACATTTTCATTCTGTTGCTCACAGAATGATATGCCTTTCTGATATTTAGATCTAGTTTTAAAATTCCATTCTTATGACTTCAGCCATTATTTCTATGCATGTAACCTCCAAATCAATATCTGCAGACCTGATGTCTTTATCGTTTTTGCCCATTTCCATTCCACTCAGCCAGTACCACCTCAAACTTAATATATTTAAAAACAAAATTTTATCTTTCCCTAGCTTAGCTCCTTCTCCTGCCTTCTCTATTTTTCTTCTTCTAGTCAGTTACTCAACAAATGTTTATTGAGTCAGGCACTGCCAGAAGCTGGTAGCACAAGGGTAAGATAAAGCATGGTCTTTTTGCCAAATTGCAGAATGAAGAGTTTATTTCACAGTGCAAGAATGTAAGTACTGATCAACAGAATTGTTTTGTAGAATAGCACAGGATATACTCTGAGGTTGGGCGCCAGATGATTGTGTAAGTTGCCTCAGACATTAATCCATTAGAGTAATGGATGGCACCATTGGGACCTCAGATGAAAACATCAGCCATCTTTCTTGGAGAGGGTTGAGGGTATGAACAGGTTGGTTGACTTTAAGAGAAACTTTCATATTTTGTTTTGATTCTAAGACTGTTTGGTACCCAAAGACACCAAAGATGGATGAAATAATTTAAGAGACCTAAAAAATCAGAGTAGATTGCTTGTTTTCTGTGGAGATTTCCTATCTGAAACCCAATTTTGAAAATAATGAGCAGCTTTATATGTGAGCTGTTATTATAAGCAGCTGAGCTCAGCTCATCTGGGCCTTCCTTTTGGAGCCTATGAGACATAGAAACAGAAATACTCTCATTGCTAAGAGATCTGGGTTTTATCTGCAGCATGACTTCTTCTGGATAATTTTTGAAAAAAGCCACACCAGTAAAATTTTGTCCCTTACGCTCAGGCTTCCCACAGGGTTTTGATGCATCACCCCTATAATTTTATTTGATTTCCAGCTCCATGGTTTTCCTTACTATTGCTGTCACTAATAAATAACACATTTGTATAATTCTGCCAATTACTTACAAGTATTATATGCAATACTGAGGTCAGAAGAAAACTGGTATTTTCTCAGAGTGAAACATTTACCTTCTAAAAAACTATATACAAGTGTGTATTGGGAGTGCATTCTCTAAACTTTAGGAAGGCCTTGATTCTCAGTTTTATATTGTACCCATGTAGAGCAAATTCAACTTGTGAATGGCTTAGATAAGATACTTCTAATAGGAAAATAACTTGTCTATTAGGTCTTAGACTTGGTTCATCAACTTAAATTTGAAACCTGACTGTGGCATTTTAAGCCATCTCTAAGCCCAGATATGCATGTGGTACAAAGTCCTTTTGCCTTAAAACTCCATACTTTAGATGTTTAAAGATTTAAAGAGTATTAGAGGTAAGGTGTGTTGCCAATCAGAGGATTAATGTCTGTCACTGTCTGCATAGTGGCACAGCTGGCACTACTGGATTTGCTCTATTTTACTCAAACTGGAAATATAAAGTATATAAAAATAAATTTTGAGCCGGGCTCGGTGGCTCAGCCTGTAATCCCGCACCGTGGGAGGCTGAGGTAAGTGGATCGCCAGAGCCCGTGGGTTCGAGACCCGCCAGGGCAACTTGGTGAGACCTCATCTCTACAATAAATAAAAAATTAGCCAGGCATGGTAGTGCGCGCCTGTAGTTCCAGCTACTTGGAAGGCTGAGGCGGAAGGATTGCCGGAGCTCAGCAGGTCGAGGCTGCGGTGGCCGGGAGCGGCCACTGCACTCCAGTCTGGGTGACAGAGTGAGATTCCAACTAAAATAAATAAATAAATAAATAAATAAATAAATTTTGGGGGGATCAGTAAATAAGTAAATAAATAAATTTGGGGGGGATCAAAATAAACCAACAAGTCAGAAGAGAGTTCCCAGCTTGTCTTTAGACCAGAGAGTTATACATACAATGGTATTGTGATTTATAATGAAATACTGGTTCATAGTTAGAAAATGGGACTAAGCTCATAGGATGCAACTTTTAAATCTAGAGACCGATTTCTCTCTAAAAGGGAAAGAAATCCAGTCTTTTGGTGATGACTAGTTCTTAGAAATAACTCTGGTTTTAGAACACACTGAAGTTTAGTTTTATTTCCAAGCTTGTGGCACATGACTTTATCAGTAATGTAGATATACTTCAGGACCACATGGAAGAAATTCAGGAATGGAATGAAGAATTCTACAAGGCTTATGACTGTCTGCTTAAAAATACTTTGACAAGAAGTTGATATGGGAACTGTCTTCAGATCATTGTGCTTTCATAGTGTTTTTGTTTTCTCATCTTTTTAAAATGTAAGATCCTAGGAGCATCATGGGTAATCAGATGCCAACTTCATTAATATTTACCACCCCCCAGATGAAGATCAGGTTTTGTTTTAATTCATCTGCAAACTTTATCTGTAAGCTCCATATAGTAATTGTATTAGACCTGGCAGGATACATATGGTCTCTGTTGCATATTCTTTCTTTTCATTTTTGTTTTTTTATAACCCTTTAAAAATGTGAAATACAATTTTAGCCTTTAGTCCATACAAATACAGGCCCCTGGCCAGATTTGACCTGTGGGCTGTCATTTGCTGACCCCTAAACTAGAGTTCAGAGTGCAGGCCCCAGTCTTAGAGCATTATGAATTCTGTTTGTGATGCCTGTGGGGTTTTTAAAAATTGCTTGTCTTTGTATTTAATTTTGGTCACTCAAGAAATATTAAACCA